GATAAAGCATCAGACTGGTATCCCTGGAGGATAGAGAGAAGACTCTTGGTCTCTGCAGGAGTAGGGTCTCTAAATTATTTGTTATCCAAACCACTTTTGTGAGTGAAAGGGGCACTATTAGTAACTAAACCTGGATAATTGGAGTAAGCTGAGACTGTCTTGACAAATTGGAATGTATGGTCACCTCGTACGTAGGGCAATGTGTGACGTCTGGTGTCTAGAACCCCAATTCTAATGCTTCTTTACCTGTGCAAAATTGGACATTTTCTAGTTACTCCCTTAGATTATTACAGATGATCATTTTATGCTGTTGATAACAAATTTAGCAATAAGATAATTAATTTCCGTATGACTCAGAACACAGCCCCCTTGTTAAGTAATATAGCTCCAGAACAGAATTTGTTGCAAAGAAAATGTTCTGTGAAAATTCTTTAAAGAAGTCTTTCAAGTGCATTTTTTTAAGGATGCCACCACGCACTGTTTACAAAGAAAGTCTTTAAGGGAAGCAACAGACCCCTCAGGCCATTTCTAGCAAAGAGATGTACATTTAGTACCAACAACACAAAAACACTGTTGTAACTACACCCAAACTGATTTTTGCACCCAACATATTTTTGTCTTCAAACTGCAGTCGGATGCTGTGTTTTCCTTCTGTTTGTTTCACCACTTTCCTTCTAAATATTTTGCATCATCCTGGAGGTTTTCCCAAATGTGGTCTGCTCACTGGAGGGCCATATTCCTCTGACTTGTGGCATTAGGTTGTGTCGCCACGGCAAGGCTTGTTTATCATAAGGGAATACTTTATAGGATGGGCACCTCCCACAACAATTTCAACCCCTTTTCCTCCTCTTCTCGCACATGCTCAGATTTTCTGAGACAGCAGCCCAGATATGGTTTTCTCTAATCATAAGTTGCATTCCTAGAGTGTGAACTTTTCTTTGCTCTGCTTTCAAGATAGGGAAATTTTTGGCTCTGTTTATTTCTTTCAAACTGGGCAGTACCCTCTTGACTGTTATGACTAATTCACTTGACAGGGCTGGAATCTCCTCATAGTTCTCTCCAGGTAAATCCCATTGCTCAAACTTGTGGGGGAAAAAATGCCAGAGGGGGCAAAGGGTGACCTCGTGGTGGTCGCAGCCTATCCACTGGACAGAGGCCTCTGTTGACCATGGGGATTTTTTCCAAGAGAAGGAACGCTTAGTCAGAACCTGACAGTTCTTATACTCTCACATTCCTGCAGAGGAACCAGCTTGGGGAGAGATAAGAGCCCTGGGTGGACACCCTTATTATGCCTACCTTTTTATTTGCTAAATGTGGAAATTGACTTCATCCAATTAATAAGAGCAGGAAACAGTTTTTGTTTTCTCTTTGTAGGAAAACATGAAGTAACAGTTTTATCTTAATTTGTCAGGCATTGCCCAAGAGACTACAGCCATGTGGGCTGGTAGCCAAAAAATCTCTCTAAGTCCCAAGTACTAACACCCAGATATAAAAAGAATGCTAATTGGTTTTCCAGCTGAAAAATAATAAGGTACTTGGTGCCAAAAATGCTGTATGGCATGGAAACCCCAAGTTTATACAATAGGGCCTGATTGCAATCTGGGGGCTCCATTTGTACTCATATGTAGAGCTAAACAAAGGGAGGTGTTTCGCTCCTCTGCCTTTGTAGAAAGCCTCTGCTCCAGATCTCAGCCTGGTGTTACACCAGGCTTCCCACAGTCTTCCTGCCAAAGTTCCAAGATTTTTCCTGGCTGCCGTTCAGGAAAGTACAGCTCCGTCCGTAGGGTGGAAAGTTAAAAAGCCCTCGCTTGGATACGCCGAAATATATACAAACACTGCTTGACGTATGGAGCAGGCAGGCTTTGCACAGGTTGCTCCTGCCTGCATTCTAAGGGAAAAGAATGCAAGATTTTTAAAAGTCATTTTAGTAAAGCAATGGAGCTATTAGCTGGAAGAAAAAAAGTATTTTTTAAAGCAAATTCAGCATTCCCCTTAAGCCCAACAATTAACTATCTTAGTTTCATTAGTAAAATATCAACTAATTTCCAAGAGCCCATCCAGCTTGGGCCATTTTTAACTTAAGGACACGTTTAGTATAAATAGGAAGATACTGAATATAAAGAAGATCATTGGAAGTGACCTGGTGAGAGTCACTCTTGGGCTATTGGTACAGCTCAGGCTGGGGCTGGTACTCTGATGCATATTGGCCGATTGTTAGCCTTGCCTGTGGCTTCACACCTTGACTCCAGGTCTACATCACTGATGAGAAAGTGCTTGAATTGAAAGGATCTCTTAATACTTAGAACCCTACTCTAATTATTTCCAGTTGATGGTAAATACCACTGTTGAATTCACAGCATTTAACCAATATTATCCAAAATGTTTTTAATTATAGTTAATACTAAAATACACTATTTCCTGTCACCAATAATGGTTATAGGCTATGACCATTACACTAGTTATGTATGTGAAGATGCAACTAAGTTTAAAATTTTGTTAAGAAAATAATTACTTTGATAATAGAAGTAAAACATAGTCTCAAAATAACCAACATTTGCCAAAGTGTACAGAGAATAAAATAAGCTATAAGAGTCCATTGATGTGTAAAAAATAAACTGTTTTTAACAGAAACTGGCAAGCGTTGTCTGTTCCTTTCTATCAATGCTTTTCTCTTGTTTATTACTTTTTGGTTGTTTGTTATTATTAGTGCATTTCCCCTAGAGTAGTGGGACAGATGGTATGTATTTAAGAATTTAGAAAGCATTTATTTAAAAGTACTGGGCATCAGGATTTTTTACATGCAGGAGAAACTAAGGAGTAGAAGACCATTGAATTAGCATGTCTGGCCTTTAATCGGGTTCATCCCCACCAAGCTAAATTAATTTTCCAGTGTGCCTCTTCCTTAAGCGTAGGCTTCACCTTTGGTACATTTCTGCTTCTGTGACATTGTGCTTGCTCTTTCCCTCAGCTGGAGTAAGCTCTCTTTCCCCCTCCATATTTTAGGTCCCAGTGCAGTTCCCACCTGATCTGTAAAGCCTCCCAGACCACTCCTCAACCCTTTAGTTTCCCATTTATCTGAACTCTTATTGCTCTTACTGTTTTCAGGAGGCAAGAGAAGGATGTGGAGGGCTCACAGATCACGTGGGAATCAAATTGGGACCCAGAATATGAAGAGGAGAAAGGAGCATTTTTTATTGCAAGGAGCAGAGACTCACTCAACTAGCTTAAAATAAGGAGAAGCTATTATAAACCTACAGCATCCAAGAAATGGGCCTTGCAGGGTATGCACTGGAACCTGTCAGAAGCCTAGACAGCTCTCTCTCTCTCTCTCTCCAGTTCTCAGGATCATACAGTACCCCTCTTGACTCTTTCCCAGGAATATCTACTTTCGTACTCTTCCCTTGTCTCTCTGCCTTATCATTTCAGTTTTCTTTCAGCTCAACTACCGCCAAACGACTGAATTAGACTTTTGGGATCTTAATTCCAAACGTTCAGAGATTTGGTTGTCTTATCTTGAACTGTATACCCAGTCATTTAATCAGTGTGGTTAGCAGGGTCAGTGATTTTTGGTACAGACAGCTGCCTAAGCCCATTCCTGTGGCAGCCTGTGGGTGAAGTTTCAGGGAAGGGGGAAATTAGTAGATAGGCACAAGATAAGTTGTATTGTTCCTCCAGGGCAGATTCCTTAGGGGCAAGGAATAGATTACTAGGTGCTTATTTTCATTACTGTGTTTAGCACAGTGCTGTTCATTCATCACAGTTATTCACAACGCTGGCTGCACAGTAGAATCACCTGGGGAACTTTTAGAAGCATTTCCATGTCCAGTCCTCCCCCTTGCCACCACCAGAGATTCTGATTTCATTTGTTGTGGATATGGCCCAGACACCTGACGTCAAGGACTACTGTGCTTTCCAGATGCCAGACTTATTTTTACTGAGGTCAGGGCCATAGAAAATATTACTCCTATAGGTGAAAAAGTGATTACCCTCATAACTAAAACATGGTAGAAGTTCAAGAGCTGTTAAATAGCTTAAAATTCTTGTTTGGCTCAGCAGAAGGGTAACTATAGATTACATTCATGTTGTCTTAGGTAGGGTGAATACCAGTAATATTGGTAACTTTAGAAAGTGACATAAAAAATTTTGATTTTACACTTTTTATTTTCCCCCATTCCTGTAACTGATTTCATTAGATCGTCAGTGGTTATTTCTGCAAGGTTTTTTGACTATGTAATTCCATACATCTACAAAATGCAGCCCCATTCCTGGATTCTTTGAAAAAAAGGTCTCATATAACTAGGAAAATTTAAGATTTAATAGTAAATTCTGACATGATGACAATTCAGAGTGCCACTTGGATGATAATTATTTTATTAGTTTTTCAGTGGTAACTCTGAAATTGGCATTTGATTAATTTGGACTGAGTAAAGTTTGCCTCCAGAATAGCAAAGAGCAGGTTTATTGCAGGCACTATTTAGAGATGCCTTTTCAGTGCACTCTTTGTAGTATCCTTGGGGTTGCTAAGGTTTGCCTTGAGCTGTGGAACCATAGTTGTGATGACTAGTTGGAGAATTCCAGGGGAATAGTTTTTGGAGTTCTTCAGTATGATTAGTGAAACCAAGGGGTATAGTCCAAGCTTTCAAGTAAATTGACTCAATTACTGTGTCCTGAGGAAATCACACCGTACCTCCTGGCAGTTGCCTCTGAGACCACTTTAGGACATTTGTTAACAACTTCTAGAAGTCAAGCCACCCCAATCTCATGAACACATTGGGCATGGATTTCTGTATAGAATGTGATTCATGGATCTTTACATTTCCTACCCCAATTTCCTTCTCTAAGAGGAAGCCATTTTGCCCATTTCATCTGAGGTACTCCTAAGGAAGACCTGGTGACATTGACCTCTTTGGCAAAGAATCTAGAGAGAGAATACTGTGGAAGACATCTTTACCAATTTTTGACTGAGCATAATCAGACTCAGTTTCCTTCTTGTGTTACAGCACAGATCAGTGCAGCACTGACACTTCGTTATCCCAGAGCACATTGTCCTGCCTGGACCCTCTGGATGTGAGGACCCCTTCATGGAATTACCATCGTATATCCAATGGTCAGTAATGTGAATTGCGATGCTAGTTCTTAAGCTTCCTTTGGGGGTGATATGAATGGTTTACCCCTTTTCTTGCAAGATACCAGCTTTACCTGGAAAGGAGCAGAGATGCCACTCTTGTAGGCTAAACAGGGTTTGGTGTGTCTGCACTGAGTGGCAGGTAGTCTGGCGTACACATTGCTGTGCAGCAGACCCTGGTGACCAGCTTGTCAAGAAAGCTGTGCTTGATTGATGTGCACAGGAGGTAAGCAAGAGGTTGTGTCCTTACTTGCTATGAACTCTGCAATCTTGTCTGAAAAGCTGATTCTAGGACCTTTGCCTATGTGAGATTTAATCCTAAGTCAGATGGTACAAAGAGAAGTCATTAAAGGTTTCATTGTAAACTCCTTCTCTAACACTATTCTGCTATACATCATCAAAGTAGTCCCTTGCATTGTAAAGTACATAGATGGCACAAATCAGAGCTATAAACATTTTGCTAGTTTTGTATTGAAAATCTAAATTTGAAAAATTTGACCATCACTGATGAGGACTATACTTCTGTTATCCCACAAGACTGTCAGTTATGCTTATGAAGCAGGAACAAAATAGTTGAATGTAAATTATATTGTGCGCTCCACAAACTTTCAGAACAACATGCTTTTTCTTTTAAGGACTTTTGATTTTGTTGCCTCAAGATATGAATTCTTGTCATCATGTGATTCCCAGGGAGCAAATTTCTAAGCAGAAAACATTCAATATGCCCCCTGAACAGCATTTTAAATGCAGGACATTAAAGTGGAATTTGAGTCAGTTGATTTCCAGAATTATTTGTTGTTTTCCAGCTTAATTTTTAAGACGAGCTCCCCATTATTTTCTTCCTGTCTTCTTCTCTCCCTCTCTCCCATCCTCTCTTCCATGCTTTCTTTCTTTCCTGTCCTTCCTCCCTCCATCCTTCACTCCCTGACTTCATTTTTCTTTCAACAAAAATTTTTGAGTTATCTACATTACGATGGACTTTTTCTGAAAATACAAGCATTAAAATACTATCATGATCCTCAGAAAACTTTCTTCTTGGTGGGGAGGGAGTGGAGAAGTAAACCTGAAAAGCATCCTATCTGATAAGAATTATATCCACGGTGTTGTGGGGAAATGTAGTTGTATACCTAAGCCATTCTGGATGGAGCCAGGCAGTCTGGGATGGGAAGATGTCGTGTTAGGAAAGGTATCCTGGAGGAGACAACTTTGGGTCTCTTTGGGAAGTGGAAGAGAACCTGTTTCAAGATGTGGGGGTGGAGAAAAGAAGGAGACAAACAACTGGGCATAAAGGTAAGAGAATATGTGGCACTGAAGGAGTGGCAAATAGTTCTGTGTTACTGAAATGTAAGGTACATGGGGTGGGGGGGGTGGAGGACAAGAAGTGACTCTAGTGATGTTGGAAGAAACTAAATCAGGAATAACATTACATTTTTGTTAAGGATTTGGAATTTTCCTAAAGAAGTGTGGACACATTAGAGAATTTTAATGATTAGATTTTCCTGTTACCTAGATCATTCTAGTGATATGTGGAACAAAGACTGATTGGTGAGACTGAAGGCGAAGAGACCTATTAGAAAGATATTGGCTGTAGTCCAGGGAAGAAACGATGAGGGTCTGACCTAAGGCAATGATAGTGCAGTAGAGAAGAGGATATAGACTGAAAGAATTTGAAAAGGCACAATTGACAGGACTTATACTTAAATAGATTTGGTGAAAAAGAAAACACAAGACCTTCATCAATTAGGTCCTTATTGCTGCAAAGACCATCTATTCCAAACACATCTAAAGTTACTGGAGATTCAACCAGAGGAATTCAAACTGAACAACTGCAACCAATATGACTATTGAACTCATAATCCCATGATACACGTATCATGCACACTCTATGTCACATGCTTGCTGAGACCATGTTGGAGATTCCCTCAAGTTAACTTTTAATTTTTCTCATGAAAAATCCTCTCTAAACAACTGTTGTAGATATCACAATATATCTTTCTAGCATAGAGCCTCAGGATTATCTTTCATATACTTTTCCTTCTATAGGTAATTTGTTCTTTTTCAGACTCTATCATAAACAATGCCTATTAAACAGTTATTTCCATAACAAAGACACCTGTCTAGTGAGTCATGGCAGCCAGCATAATTTGACCTACTGACAGAACTTCCCTTTTTTTCATGTTTTTTTGCTCTTCAATGAATTAAAACTAATTAAAACAAAAACTGAAATATTATTTTAGTTTCTAAATTGTCATGTTACCTTTATTGATTTACTTTCTTCTCATTCTGCAAGAGCGGATGTCCACATGTGGTGGTGAAGTCTGCCACTGCCACTGAACTCTTGTTAGCTATTCTTCTTGAGCCCTGGAGAGTTTCCATGTTCAGAGTGACCAGCTGTGGTGTGCAGCAGGGGCATGCAGGCAGGAAACATGGTAATGGGTCACAGGCCTGTCTGGGGAGAAGCTAAGCCAATTACAAATTTTCCTTTGTGTAGAGTGAATGGTGGCAGTGACTAATCACCCCCACTCTAAAACCCAAGTTGTAGTTGTCCAGAGAAATGGAACAATGAACCTGAGAAGGACTATGGCTTCTTTCTCATTTATTAAGAAGTCAGAGTTTGTACAGCCGTAATGTAGCTCTGAACATGGGTGTAGGAGAGGAAAGGCTACTGCACACCAGAATGGCTGTTGGGAAGCTCAGAGCCTAAGTCTAGGCCCTTGTTCTAAATTTTGCTGCCTTGAATCTAACATATCTTACATATAACTCTTAGCCAGCTCAGTTATCTGTTTTCCAAGCCCAGAAAAGATTAGAAGCAAATTAAAGGCAGGCATTCTGGCAGAAACACACAGACTTGAGAACTAACCACTTGATAGCAAGGGAAAAGCCTAAGACTGGAAAGTAGGTACAGAATTGTGTTCTGCATTATAACATAGTGCAGAAAAAGACAGATAAAATTATGGACCACTGCTATCAAGGAAAATTAAGCTATGACTTGTGTTTTTTATTTGGAACACAGGAAGATTGCTGTCAAAATTTGTTAAAATAAACAGAGCTTAGGAAGTCAAAGGTTTTCATTGCTCAAAGAATTAGTAACATAAAACATATTTCCTTCTCCTATAGTTTCTGCCATTAAACCTTGCAGAGAAGTCACACAGAGACTATGGAAATGAGTGTCTCTCTTTTATGAGCATTCTTTTTTCCTGCCATTTGTACACATCAATATTCTATATTTCCTTAGCTCTTGTGTTGGTAGTTGAGAACCTAATTGCTATGGTTTGAATATCTGTGTCCTTCAAAAATTCATATGTTGGAATCCTAACCCCTAAAAATGGTGATATTGGATGTGGACTCTTGGGAGGTGCTTAAATCATGAGAGTAGAGTGCCTCATGAATGTGATTAGTGCCTTGTAAAGGAAGCTCCAGAGACATCCCTAGCCTTTTTCACCATGTGAGGATGCAATGAGAAGTCTGCATCCCTGAAGAGGACCCTCACCTGATTATGCTGACACCCTCTTCTTGGACTTCCAGCCTCCAGAGCCATGAGAAATAAATTTCTGTTGTTTATAAGCTACTCAACCTGTGATATTTTGTTATAGCAGCTCTAATGGATTAAGATACTAATCATTTTCCAAATGGTCAAAAATGGTAAATGAAATCATTATTGTTATTCTCTTTGTAACTAATTTCAACTCTTTTCAATATTTAATTGGTCCAGAATGAATTGTTGCCATGAAAGCCAAAGAATAAAAAACAAACAAAAAAATTCTCATTTACAACTTTTACATAGAATATTAAAATACTGAGAGATAAAAGATTTGAATTTCAAGTGTTATAATAATTATTAATAACTTGGTAAACTAACTCTGCCAGAACAGATAAAGCTTCATTCTATATTAAAAAGCAACACACTCGCCAATTCTCATAAATTATATCTCTTCACTTTGTAGCAGGTATTTCTACTATAGATTTGTGGTTGAATTTTAAGTTAAATGTATCAGTTTACTCAGAAATCATAATTCTGTAGAAACAAAGCACTCAACTTAAAGGTGCAAATATACTCTTAGAAATGACTCAACTGTTACGGAATGAATGTTTGTATGTGTGACCCTTGTGTTGGAGATGCCTGGAGCAGAGGGACTGTGATTAATTTATATGGGTATTACTCTTTTATTGGGTTGAGTTCCTACTTAAAAGTCTGGGGAAAAAAAATCTCTTCACTGGTCAGTCAGTCCAGGAAATTGTCATCAGCTTCCATATTTGGGGGTTTAACCAATGTGACAAAATATCAGAAAGAAGTCATATCAGAGAAAAGAAAGCTAGCAAGTAATGTAGTTACTTGTTACTCCCAAGTGACGTACTCAATGCCTTCTTCTGCAAGCTCTGCCCAAGGGTTTTTCTAAGCCTAATCCAGGGTTTCTCACCTCAGCATTATTGGTATTTTTGACTGAAAACTTCTTTGTATTGTGGGGGCTATCTTATGCATTTTAGGGTGTTTAGCAACATCTCTGGCCTCTACCCATAGATGCCAGCAGCATCTCCTTGTACTTACAACCAAAAATATCTTCCTACATTGACAAATGTTCCGTGTGTGTGTGTGTGTGTGTGTGTGTGTGTGAGAGAGAGAGATAGAGAGGTAGAAGAGAAGGCAAATTAACTTCAGTTGAGAATCACTGCCCTTACCATAATGCTACCCCTTGACTTAACCCTATTATTGCTCTTGAAACATAATATCCCAGAAAAGTTTCTGCTGTCCACTGAGATAACAAAAGGGATACTGTTCTCTAAGCTGTTCTACTTGATTGTAACTCTATTCATTGCCTGTAAGATATCCTGGTTGCATCATGCCCAAGGTACCCAGGTGGGTATTTTATATCTCCTCACAGAACAGCATACTTCTCTTGTCTCATTTTTTTTCTCTTCTTTGGACTAAAGTCTTTTTGCAACTGATCCTGCACCTAGTTAGGCTTACCTGTGTAGGGTGACCATGCATCCTGGTTTATCCAGATCAGTCCTGGAGCATGCCTGTTAACCAGGCATCATTATTAATAGGACCCAGTCACTCTCAAAGTGACCCGGTTTGGATGATTAATCAAAGTCATCTTTTTATGCTACTTTGGAAAAAATTATTCGTTTTAATTTTACCAAAAAAGAGTGGGATAAAATTCAGTTTAAATAGAATGTATGAGAAAGTAATTTACCTCTTCCCCCACCCCGTGGCCCATTTTCTTATTCCATTAACCTGAAGAGAAAATCACTTAGGATGGAAGGGTGCTCGTGAATAGATCCAGAAGTTTGAATACATTCCAAGGCAGAGCATCTAAATACTTACTGATAGAT